TCGTGCTGCTGAGATATTGAGACTTTTAACATGGCTCCAAGTTGTAAACAGTTTTTCTCTCAATGAGGCTCTTCTTTATCTAGCATACTGAGTCTTTGTGTTACAGATGTATCATTAGCAGCTGCTTATTTGGTGAATTTTCCTTTTCTGAGAATGATGAGATAACTGGAATACATGATGATTTTAGTAACTGGATTGCATTGTCCTCTAAATAGAAGAAAATTCCTTAGAGTGGTTATTAAATGACTTATTTTTTAAAGAATTACGTTATTTTACTACTATAATTTTTAAAAAGTATTTTATTTATTATTTTTGTTCCAGGGGAACCCGAAGCCCTCTTCTGACCTCTGCGGCATTGCATGACACGTGTCCACTCACATTCTATAATTTTTAAGTTTAAAAATTTTGATAAAAACTTGCAAATAGAGAATGAAGCACAGGGTAATTCAGTGAAACCCTCATGTACCCATGGTAATAGCAACTATCTATTTTTTGTGTTCTGGGTTTTTCTTAGCTTTTATTCCAGTCCCCCCCCCCCTTTTATGTGTAATTAATCCCTTAAGAAGCTCATTTCATTTGGGATCCTTTGTTTAATGATGAGGAAAAAACTCCAATTTTGCCTGTTAAACAGTTGGTTCTTGATTGAAAAGGTAGATGCTAGGAGATGGGCCAGTGTGACCTAAGGATTAGCCCTGAACACTATGGAAAGGAGAAAGGGGAAAAATGGGTAAATGGTATTCAATTTTAAGATTCTATATCACAGATACTATGTAGACTATAAGAAGTGTCTATAGAGGGAAGAAGTAATCAAAGTTCAGTTAGAAGCTTCAGGATGTAGGGAAAACAAAATCACTTTTTTCACTGAGTGAAACACCTTGGTGTTAGAAAGCATCGTACTCTTAATGTGCTTGGGAAAAGTGGCTCCCTTTGTTTCCTATCCTGATCTCCTTTGCTACTCTTCTGATGATTTATTGTTTGGTTCTCTATGGCTTAAGCTTCTCCAGTGACCCCCAATTTTTATCTACCTGCTTTGGCCTTGTTTTCTTGTACATTAGCTATGGTTGATACATAGGCAAATTATTTAAAATTCCTCTAATCCCATCAGGGTACTTGGAAAAATTTATAAATCCATAAAGCAAGCACTTTAAAAAGGGACACTAATTTACAGTTCTAAAATAAGGTACCTTTACAAGATGGGGGGTTTTGTTCTCTAGATTGGTGCAGCATGGAGGAAACTTGATATTAGTGGTTCCTTTGTGCACATTGCTGAGTATTGTACATCTTATTTTTGTCATATTGGTGAGAGCTAAAGTTAGGTCTCAGGTGCAGTGGATGAAAGCAGCATCTGCAGAGCTCTCCACACCTTTGTCTAACTCCCCAGCTGACCAAGCCCATCCAGTAGGTAACAGATCTAGTTCATCTTTCTTTCTTTATCCTCTACTTAGCAAGTGAGGGTTTATTTCTTGTTGACTTTCTTTTTCCCTTCAACTCGGAAAGAAATGATCATTTAACTATTATTGAGTGTTGCTTTGGGTGACAAATTAAATTAAAGCTTTCCCTTTTTTGAAACAGGGTCTCAGCATGTAGGCTTGCTATGTAGACCAGGCTAGCCTCATTCTCACAGAGATCTGCCTGCCTCTGCTTCCTGAGTGCTAAGATTAAAGAAAAATGTGTGCCATCCCTGGCCAGAGTAAATCTTATACCTGTGTCTTTTGACCAGTATTATTTCATTTCTATTACCCTATAGGCCTAACACTTGCCACCTCTTCTTCGTAAAGCCTCTCCACAACTCTGCACCCCAACTGACGTGGATTTTTTCCTCATTGACGTTCCTCTCAGTCCAAGCAATGTGTAAAATGCATATACAGTACCTTAATGCTTGTTCCATTAAGATTATTGAGGACATTCCTTTGCCCCCATCTTGTATAGATAATATGTCAAATAATGAGCCACACGCACAATTCATAGAAGAAAGTTTATGAATACTGTAGTTAAAATATTTTATTTATTATTTTTATGTGTATGAGTATATTGCCCGCATGTATGTAGGTACACCCATGTCTGTGATGCCCACGGAGGTCAGAAGAAGGCATCAGATCCCCTGGAACTAGAGTTATGAATGCTGGTTAGCCACCATGTGGATGCTGGGAATCAAACCTGGGTCCCCTGCAAAAGCAGCCAATGCTCTTAACCACTGAGCTATCTCTCCAGCCGTAAATACTGTAGTTAAGATTTTAAAAAAAAGAAGAAGAAGGAATTGTGAAGCCACAAAAGAGAAAATTAGTGTGGTGTTTAGGAAATAGTGATGGAATTACATTATTTGACCTGGGCATCCCTTGAAATCGAACAAGCTATATAGTTGTGGAAATGCTGTGATGATGTGAGCAGAGACCAGAACAATACATATGAGGTACTAGAGGACTGTCAAATATTTTGTAGCTGAAGTTAAGATGCTTGGATGAGGAGCATGGTAATTAATAAAGTTGGCAAGATGGTTTAGGATAAGTTGGGTTTAGGTCTTTCCAAGATCTTAAGACTTTATTCTGTTGGTGATATAAAATCATCATCCTACAGAAAGGATGAAAAATATATTTACAAAGGAAGAAATTAAGTAAGAAATTTCTTAGGAAGCAAGGCTATTTTAGTAATCAACCCATGAGTAACAGGCCTAAATTAGAATAAAAATAGAAAAAGTAAATATTGAAAATATTTCAAAGGAAGAACTGAGAAGACATATTTAATTATTGCTTTTAAAATTTATGAAATAGAAAAACCAATGATATTACCAAAATTCTGCTCCTGCTGACCATTGATTGCCTTTTTTTCTAGTAACTAAGCAGTCTTATATTTATGTAATCTACAATATGTATAGATCAATCTCTGTCTTTCCCATCATCCCTTAAGTCAACAAGAATTTGTTTTTTATTCCCCATTAAGTGATAACACTAGAATTCAAATTCAGACTTTTTATTCCTGGTAAACTTTGCCATGCTGAGTTTGGGGTACTGGTAGAATGAAGAAATACCCAGTAGGTCTTAGTGTATCCCATCAAAACAGCAGTGAGAGTGGTTGAGAATTTCAAGGAAGAAATTGTAAATAAAGAAAAGAGAGCTGGGCGTGGTAGCGCACACCTTTAGTCCCAGCACTTGGGAGGCAGAGACAGGCGGGTCTCTGTGAGTTCAAGGCCAGCCTGGTCTACATAGTGAGTTCCAGGACAGCTGGGGCTGCAGGGAGACCCTATCTCAAAAACACCAAAAAAAAACAGTCAGAATGTGTACAAGTACATGACCAAAAACACAAAAAAAAAAAGAGTAAGTCATGGAGTGGATTTGGAAGAGTACATTCACAGAGGGGATTGGCTTAACAAAAAGAACTAAGGGAGAAAACTGGAAATGAACAATCACCAACAAGCAAAAGAAAAAAAAATTCATGAGTGAAAGCTCTTGCTAGAAACCAGGAGAATCAGAGTGGGGAAATTAATGTTGAAGAGAGGATGACGAAGAATAAACAAAAACCTTTTAATTTGGAAAATAGATTAAAAATGTTACACTTATTTATTTATTTTCATTTTCTGTGTATGAGTGTTTTGCCTGCATGTATTTAAGTGCACCATCTGCAGTGTGTGCAGTGCTTATGGAGGCCAGAAGAGGTAGTCAGATCCCTGGAAATTGTAATATGGATGGCTGTTAACTGCCATGTGGATGCTGGGACCTGCATCCAGATCCTCAGCAAGAACATCCAGTGCTCCTAACCCCTGAGCCATGTTTCCAGCCCCAGATTATTAAATTTTTTGAGGAAAATCTTTTGGGACAAGGCTGAAAGACAGATTATACTGGGCTGCAGAAAGTACGTGAGGAAAAAAATTATTTTGAATGACTTTTATGGAAAAAGTGTAATATGTGAAGGCTCTAGTATTAAAGCCTTAAAGTACAAAAAGTCAAAGCTTATAGGAATTTCTTTCTTTACGTGTATCTTTTTTTTTTTTTTTTTTAATTTGAGACAGGGGCTCTCTGCAGCCCCAGCTGGCCTGGAACTGGCTCTGTAGACCAGGCTAGTCTTGAACTCACAGAGATCTGCCTGCCTCCTGCTGTGATCAAAGGCTGCATCACCTGGCACGTGTTATCTTCTTAGGAAGAGTTAAGTGGGAGTGCCTTAGGTACTTTTCTTCCACATTACCCTGAGTAGAGTATCATACTGTTCTAGGGATGTATAATGTTTAATTTTGAATGTCAACCTGGAGGGATTTAGAGTCACCATGGAAATAAACCTCTGAGGAATTATCTAGATTAATTGACATGGGAAGTCCACCCTAAATGTGGGTGGCACTGTTCAATGGGATAGGGTCCTGCACTGAATAAAAAGGAAAATGTGGGCTGGAAAGATGGCTCCGCAGGTAAGAACACTGGCTGCTCTTTCAGAGGACCTGGGTTCGGTTTCCAGCACCCACATGACAGCTAACAACCGTCCTAACTTCAGTTCCAGGGGATCCAAGTCTCTTTTCAGACCTCCACAGGCATTGCACAACACAGGTGCACTTACATATATGCAGGCAATATACCCATACACATGAAATAAAAATAATAAATAAAATATTTTTAAAAAGAAAAAATGCAAGCTGGTAACAGCATTCATCTCTCTGCTTCTTGACTATGGATGCAATGTGACCAGTTGCCTCATATTCCTGTTGCCATGCCTTCCCTGTTGTGGTGGACTATGTCCTCAAACAGTGAGCCAAAATAAATCTTGCCGTAACTTTATTTAGGAGAAAAGTAACTAACACAGTTTCTGATCTGACTTACCTATGCAAGGCTGAGCTCAAAGATCCCTGAACAGCAACAGTCATTTACAGTTCAGAGACAATTAGTTTTAAATGAAAACTATTTTTTAAAAGTTTGATATACCTTTAGCTTCATTCCTTTCTAATATCTGAATTTTTATAGTATTTCTTATGTAATGTGTTAATGTTATATTTTTGTGTTTGTACTTATTTTTATTTAAAGGATGGAGTGGCCTTATCTATGTTCATGCAAAATACTTTAACAAGATTTACAAGGTAATGTATTTTTCTTTTAAAAACTATATACAAAATACCAGAAGTAGCAGTTTATCATTACATTATTTGTACTAGTTAAAAAGTTTAGCCGATTTTTAAATAGTGTCTATTATAATGACTATTTGTTCATGTTACATAGAACATTCATTTCAGGTAAGGTTAGTGAAGTATGAACAAGTATTTTATAAATAAGAGACGTGAAAGAGGAAAATGATTTTAAAAACAGTTGCTTCTTCTAAAGAGTGGAATAGCCATAAGGAATAGTTGTAGGGAAATTCAAATAACTGATCCTGGAACAGAGTAAGGACACTGATCAGGGAATGATTGAGGAAGATTACCTCAGAATGGAAAGTAGTAGAATAAGCAGTAACTCGGATTGTACCCAGATAAGGAAGAAAAGGACTATGGACTGGAGAAGGCGTTTACAGCTTTCTGAGAAAAATGGATTTACTTTGCATCTAGATAAAGAAAAAATAATCAAATTCTGTGTATTTGAAGTTACAAACTTTGACATGTTCTGAATCCATATACTTTTGCTCTCATATATGAATATAAGCAATTAAAAATATGAAAACTAAGGAACTTATATTTAAACATGTTTATTAATTAGACATTTCTGTATTTTTGGTACTCACCCAAGAGCCCTAGAAGGAATAATAGAATCATAACATTATTGTTTTAAAATATCATTGTCAGTCAGGCATGGTGGCACACACCTTTAATCCCAGCACTTGGGAGGCAGAGGCAAGTGAATCTCTGTGAGATGGAGGCCAGCTTGGTCTACCTAATGAGTTCCAGGCCAGCTAGAGCTACAGAGAGACTGTCTCAAAAAGATAATAATAATAATAATAATAATAATAATAATAATAATCCGTGTTTAGAGGAAACTAATAGTATGCTTTCTTTTAAAACTACATAATGAGTGAGGTAGGTTGATGCACTTCCAAGTGTAAGTATATGTTATTGTGCATTTGGTTTCAAACCATTTTCCTTCTCACGGTGCATTGGTATTCAGGGTTTCACTACCCTTTGATGTGTCCTTGTTAGTAACACAGTGTTCCAGACATAAGTATAGGTTACTGTACTTTTGGTATCAAACCATTTTCCTTCTCACGGTGCACAGGTTCAGGGCTTCACTGCTTCTTGATGTGTGCTTGCTATTAATGCAGTGCAATTTCAAGATTTTAAAAATGATGCTGACAAATAAATATTGAAATTAGAAATAGTCACATCCATTCTTCCTTCAATATACAGACTACCCCTTATAAGCGTTGCACTGATTCAAGGCTGGGCAATGGGTGGAGGAGCAGAATTGACTACAGCCTGCGATTTCAGGTAGGATAAAAATTGTATTATTTCTGGTATCAGCATAATTAGCACACACTCAGATTCAATTTTGCCTTAATTTCAATATTATATATATTCTTAAACAATATTATATATCTTCTTAATATAATCAGCTAATGAATATTTTCTCTTTATCAATCATTAAAGTAGATTACTTTTAGTTTAGTAAAATTACTGTTACTTTCTTACAGTGCATCTTTAAAAAATGAAACATAATGATGTTTTAATAAATCCATATTAGCAAGATTCCTAAGGAGGAAAGTTAAGGAAATATATAAAACTGTAAAATCCAAGAAAATTATATAGAAAAAGTTAACAACTAGAAAGAAAAAAAAAAAAAAAGAAAAAGTGGACAAAGAGATTCCTTTTTACCAGCCCTCTTATCAATGGGAAGAGCCTCTGAAAACCATTTCTTTTGAGGTCCATGACTTCACTATTCATAGCAACTTTGGAGAACTTTTGGGCTGAATAGGTAATCAAGTTTGAGGAAATTCTGGGAACAAACTGTTCTTCACTTTGTAGAATTTTTTTCAGAATTACACTGTACAGGAATAATACTGTATAAAATCTAGTTCTTTGCACAGCCTTGAAACTGCCTTCTTAACTATTCCCAAGGCCTATAGACACAAGGCCTATAGGAAACCAATATAATATTCTTTCATACTTATCCTGATAGGCATAAAAATAGTGTAAGACAATGTCATATTGAACTGTTCCATATTTACAGCTTCTGAGAAGGTCCAGGAGCTGTAATTTATATCAAAGAATTTATATTTCCAAAAGAAAGTTATGAGATACTTTATTTTAAAAATATACTTTATCTTCATTACAATTCAAAAAATGGTAGGTATGTGTATTATAATTAGAGCTAACATGGTAAAACAGTAAAGAGCCCCAGCACTGGTGTCAGATAGACTGATCTTCAGTCTATTTCCAGTTTTATCTGTTTGACTTTCTCTGTCTCCCTTAAATATTTAGGTAAGTTTCAATGAGGTCATGAATGTATAGATTTTTAGCATAATGCTTCTTTTTTAAAAAAACTATTTTTATTATTTTTATTCTATGTGTATGAGTGTATTGCCTGCATGCATGTTACTGCACTAGTGTTGTGCACTGCCACGGAGGTCAGAAGAGGGTGTCCCATTCCCCTGGAACTGGAGTTAAGGACAGTTCTTAGCTGCCATGTGGGTGCTGGGAATCGAACCAAGGTCCTCTTCAAGAGCAATCAGTGCTCTTAACTGCTGAGCCATTTCTCCAGCCCCATAATGCTTAATCTTAATGCATACAACAACTGTTATTTTGAACGTAATTACCTTATATTACTACTCTTCTTTTTTAAGAACAGAAATGCCAATAAAATGTCATACTTTTAGATTCACTCTCTTCCTTGGCATGTTTTCAGCCATAGGCTAATCTTAGTCTCTTTTCTTCTTTTCATTTTTCTTTTTGACATACTTTATTTTATACATAGCAATATAATTTACATATTAAATAAACTGTAATGGAATGATTTGATAATAGTTTTAAATATAAGAAGAAAGAAAAATTTCAAGTTACAAAACTCCTCCCCAGAACATATTTTTTATTCATTATTTTTTATTTTTTATGTGTATGAGTTATTGCTTGTGCATGTGTGTAAGTGTACCTGTGTTGTGCAGTGTCCAAGGAGGTCAGATGAGGGTATTGGATCCCTTGGAACTGGAGTTAGGATGGTTGTTAGCCACCATGTAGGTGCTGGAAATTGAAGCCAGGTCCTCTGCAAGAGTAGTCAGTGCTCTTAACTGCTGAATCATCTCTCCAGTCCTGCAGAACATATTTTTTTAAATCATTTTTAAATCATTTTAAATCATTTAAAATCATTTTCAAAATTTCTCCTTACCCCAGTCAGACTGGCTAAGATCAAGAAAACAAATGACACCAAATGTTGGAGGGGATGTGGGGAAAGGGGAACACTCATCCACTGCTGGTGGGACTGCAAACTGGTGCAGCCCCTATGGAAAGCAGTGTGGAGAACTCTTAAAAAACTACAAATGAACCTACCATTTGACCCAGTTATACCACTCCTTGGCATATACCCAAAGAACTCATCCTATTGCAGAGACACTGGTACATCCATGTTTGTTGCTGCTCTTTTCACAATAGCTAAGAGATAGAAGCAACCTAGGTGTCCCTCAATTGATGAGTGGATAATGAAAATGTGGTTCATATATACAATGGAGTTTTACTCAGCAGTAAAGAAAGATGAAATCATGAAATTTTCAGGTAAATGGATGGAACTAAAACTGTTATACTAAGTGAAGTAACACAATCTCAGAAAAAAAATCGACATATGTTCTCCCTCATATGTGGATCCTAGGATCAGACTCTGATAAATAAGTATGCAAACAGACATAACTGCAGGAACCAGGACAAGGGTAAGGAAACAGTGAGGTAAAGGAAAAGAAATAACCTGAAGGAGAAGAATAGTAGGTAACAGGCCTTAATAAGGGAGATATGGATAAAAATTGGGTTAGTTTAAGGGAGGGGGGAGGGAAGGGTATATGAGGAACCTAGGGGATAAGGAGAAAGAAGAAGATCACAGAGGTAGGATCATAGAAGCAAGGGTATTAGTAAGGAAGAAAGAGGGGAAGTGGGGGCACCTTAACTGGGAAAACCGTGATAGAGGGGTGAGACTATACAAGAGAGAAACAATGCCTAGCTAGTCACGAAAACCAGAGGGAACCATATTATTCCTACAATCTACTGAGAAATTATACATAATAGATCAAGAAATATATCTCTAGATAAGGTTTATTTGAGACCAACTGGTCATTACCCAAGACCTATCTGCAAGACACACAGTAATTAAAAA